GATGGCACAAGCAGCCATACGTAGTCCAAATGCAGTCCATCCAAGCCCAGTTCAGATTCTGCTCTCATACCCAGCATCAGATAGCCCACCAAACAAGACTGCACATATTTCTGTTAAATTATCCTATGTCTGTTGTGCAGTGTATGAATGTGGTGGCAGTGAGAAGTTAAGTCCATCTACAACAAAAAGGAATGCATTGTATTTTTATGAAAATGCAAGTCATCCTGTTCTTTGGGAGGATTCCTTTTACCACCAATGCAAAATTTAAATGACCTTTATGAGTCATCTTATTTACAAATAATAGACAGGTAGATGTACAGATGCTTACATTTTCTCCCTGACTGTAGCTGTTCCTCTTCCCTATGAGTGCTATGAACAAAAAGCAAGCATCACTTCACCTACATGATATGCAGCAAAACTATATTCCAGTCAAAAGGTTCTGGCAGTGTTTATACATTCATGCAACTTCTTTTGAGCACAAAAAATATTATCTTCATTTTGCTAAGGAACAAGCAGGAAACTTTGACTCTACAAAAATCAATGGAAATTTTACCACTGAAAGCAGTACGTCACCCACAAAACAAAAGTATCAGACTTTCCAGTGTATTTAGACATCTATTACAACATTAAATGCAGTCAGAAACCACTGACAAAGCACAGCAAGAGTACATGAAGTATTGTTCTTTATAAAACTAGTAAGAGCTCCCCAAGATACTCTTCTCCACATTCTGTAATCACTTTACATAAAACATGGTTGAGCTTTCAGGCACTGGAGAAAACCTCCTCCTCTGTGAAGAAGCTAACAACTTAAACACAACAAGGTCATGTCAAAGACTTACACCAAGAGTTTGGGGAGGAGCAGAAACAGAGAAATAGTATTCTGAACTTCCCTTACACATTAGTACACAAAAAGGAACACAAATTAAGGAAGGAGGAGACAAAGGATGGAGGTTTAACCCCTTCACACCACGAGTCCTTTGCATCCACTGTTGGAAACAGCGTTGAAAATATTGTCCTGTTTCTTGGTAGGATTAAGAATCAACCAAATGCATCAGAATTGTCACTGAATAACTAATGAACCTTATTTCTGTATTACACGCTCTGCATTATTTGGTAATATTTTTAAGTCCTTCCTACAGCTCCAGACATGCATCTACATGCAACATAATGCCTCCATACCACGTAGCATGAACTTGAGAACTTAAAACAAGGAGTCTTACAGTGTTGCTTAATGTTTCACATGAAAAAGCAGCACCTTAGCATAAAACAAAAACCATTCATATGGTGACAGAGGAGAACACAGCTGAACGACTGCCATGTTACCCGGCCTAGATGGTGGGAGCTGGAAAACACACAGGAGGTACCAACTTTCATTCCTACTCAGACCTGTGGTATTCATTCCAGTACTCACAAACGGACAAGGCTAGAAAGAAGTTCTGGACAACAATCTTGTGTCCGGGAACAAGAAGATTAATTACATTGCCATAAGTCCTACTGACGTCATGGCAAATGTACAAAATCACAATTCCAGCTATCCGTTTATGGATAAAGAAAAAATAAAAGCTTTTCATCCTCTTCAGATTTTGAGAGACATAAGACAGCACTAAGAAAATGAAAAACAAAAGCTTCACTGAACAACTCTGATGATAAAAATGAGAATCTGCATCTGTTCCGTTCAAAACTTTGCGTGAATGATGAAATAAAAGCACTCTTTCAGAGCTGCATGGAATACGAGAGAGAGGGGGCATACCACAGTGCAGAAAGATGAAGTTGTATTTTAGTGTATGTCTTCACAACACCAGTGCACCTACGCCTGGCATTACCAACACCAACACTTGCAGCAGAGAAAAGTGGCAGAGTACTTCCAACACAAGAACAAGGTTGTTAGGGTCAATACCACTTATTTATCCTAAAACTTCTCCATAGCATAGTTAATCGCTGTTTATGTCATTAATTATTCAAAAAGGTACTACTGCTTTAATTCCCGCTATGCACACAAGGCACTGCTAGGCAGTAAGTTTGTTTTGTAGTGAAACATCTCATCTGGAACAGCGTAAAGTAGATGCAGCACCTTGTCTTATTTTGATGTCAGCTTGCTTTTTCTGGCTGTTTCACCAGTGACAGTGGAGACACCGTCAGCCTCAAGCCCCTCTCTATAGCCCTTTCTCAGTGAAAAACTGGGAATCACAATTCAGATTGTTTATGGCAAACATCCTAAGAAGGTATTAATTATATTTAGCTACTGTAATATGAAAATATGCATAGTTTCTGTAGAAACCATGAAAACCTCTGCGCTTCCAGTCAGACACCACTGCGTTTATATCAAGTGCACCATGAGCTCAGCATAATGTATGTGATTATAAGAATTCAGACCCATTCCTATTACTTCTGTCCCTTTCTCCGCTCTCTTCTCCTAAAAGTGAAAAAAAATCTGCTTTCTAGAGCAGAAATTATACTTGATACAGTAATGATGACAACCACATGGATTCCGAACAAAAACAATGGCTTGCACGAACAAACGCCCACTGTACTGCAAATACGCCAGAGAGAAGCACTGCATTATTGTCTGGCAATACATTCATGGTTTTCCATCTCTGGCATTTACTCAATTTTCAGATACAAGTGTGAAAATTTAAGCCGCTGAAAAGCTATTAAGGACAGACCACAATGTAATTAGCTCTGAAAAAAACAGCTCCTGAAATGAAAGGCAAAAATCAGAATAATGAGGTTAGAGGGCCTATCCCTGACAAGGCACAGAGCTGGCAGTGCAAAAGGGTTGCAACAACTTACTTGCCTGGTAAGCATTTCTCCAGTATGAAGCCATCCCAGTCACAATCCAGCCTCTGCGCTTCAGATTCCAAGCACAAGAGGCACAGAGTATGACAGGGTACCCCCTGTCAGTGCTACATATGGCTAGTTTGACAGCCCTTAGGGTGCTAATGCAGCCCATACAAGATAGAGTAGCTGCTCTACTTATTAAATCAGTCTGTTCTAATTTAAATTGGTTGGGATGTGGCCAAAATTCTGCTAGAACTGGCATGCTGCAATCAGGGCTTAAATAAGTCTTTGTTTATCATCTTTGGTTGCATGGAAAGATGCTTACTTCAGCTGAAGTGTGAGCTGGAGCCTAAGGATAATGTCTTCTATACCTTCCTCTCCATGAGTTTGTGAAGTTAAGTGGCCTGACAAAAAACTTGTTTTGTTCAGTAGTCCTCATGCCTTCTCCTCCCTACAACACAAGTGATCCGTTAGTTTATCATGAACTTGTGTCCAGACCAGGAGCCTCAAGCTGCAGCAGTAATTAATTAACCCATATTGATCTACACTACATACTAAACACTGCACACTGTAGGGTAACTAGCTCTTTATATGCAACAGTAAAATACATCCATAGTAAGAGAGAACTTTTGTGGCCCACCGCAGGGGCATGGAAATTTGGCTGTAAATGAGAAAGCTCCATAATCAAAATCAGAGGGTTTTGACCAGCAGTGAGTAACTTGCAGTGAGGCAAGATTCAGATGTAACACAGCTGGCAGGAAGGATTAGGGATGGACTGTTTCTTATGGAGAAAGTAAACGTGAGCCAGTCTTACCAGCCTTGCCTTTAACAAGGGAAAACTTTCTAGATACTCTAGATACTAGAAATACTTTCTAGAATCACAAATCAAAATCAGTGTTAAGCAGAAGGTAAGTGAAATGTACTGCTAGGGCACCACAAGAAAACCAACATTTCCACTGTTAAGGGAAACTGTGAATCCATTTATCACACACTTTTTCTACTACCCAATTTTGTGCTGTATTCAAAACTACTCTTTATTAAATCCTACTGCTTTACTCTCTAATACAACTGATTCCCGACAAGTGATTTATCAGGCATGGTATTTGAAAAAAAGCCACCTATTTCAGCAAACAGAGGCAGGAAGGAAGCAATAACGTTATTTCCCCTTTCACCTCTCTCTTCCCCCCTCCCCTCCCCTTCCTCCAGCACAATGGTTTCAGGCTGGTTGTTCCACTTCTGGACGTGATCACACACTGGCTCAAAACCCGTGCCTTGCAGGGACAAAGCCCCATTGATTATCTGCACAACCCCACATTATCTGTTTCCTTTTTCTTCCTCTCTGCCTCACGTCCTCTGCCGTTCTACCTTCCAGTGTTCTTTCTTAACTCCTTTTTTGTAACAATCGTCTGGTATTACTTCAGAGGACGCAGTGAAATAACTGTGGAAGTGGAATTACCAGGACAAGACTTAAATGCTTGGTCCTTTACACTTTGAAGGTATAAAGAAGGCCAGCATAGGATACTAGCTAGCAATGGAAAAACAAACCCTTATTTAAAAAAAAAAAAAAAGAGAAAGACTAAAACACAGATTTCAGGAGAAATCCAGCTCACAATAGCAAGTTACCCTGCAGTGTAAAAACTGGACAGCATTTTACAGATTATACCAATTAGGTATTTTGTCATATCAAAGTGTTTTAATTCACCTACACGTACTTTCCTGATGGTATTAGTCAATCTCAAAGGGATTTAGAAAAGAAGTCACTATTATATTTCCTGTGTCAGACAGGAAACTGAGTGACAAAACAAGAGATGGACCAAAGGTCAAATAGCTGACTGGTGGCAAAGATAAGACTAGTTTCCATTTCTCCAGACTTCCAGTTCAATACTGCAGCTGATACAGTTCTCTGTTTCTCAGTGTCTGCCTGAAATCAAGTCTCTCAGGATAGTTTTATGTAAAACATTTAATAATTTCAAAATGCTACGTTTATGAATTTTTTTGTCAAGAAGTGGCACAGAATGCTACTCAAGTATATTTGCACAAATACTACATATTGCTTGAATAAAACAACTCCATCTTCTCTTCTTTTAGACAGAAAGCATACTTTTTTGTACACTCCAGTGAAGACTTTACTATGTAACATAACATAAGACAATAAATGTTAGTGAGACATTAGTTTCAGATAAATGAAGCCTTCTAGGGAATCATAATTAAATGTGACCTACCAAATTTTTGGTCAAACCTCCAGGCTGGAACGTGTGCATTGTGCTTCAAGTTGCTGTTTGTTGGCAGAGGCACTGTTACGTAGATGGGGCCATTCACTGGGACTGGAGTACCATCACTGCTGAGAAGATGGACGCTGACTGCAGCGACAGGGGTGAGGTCATACCTGGTGCTGTTTCCTGTACCAAGAGAATGAACGAAAATTATGACTACAGACTTTTCCAAAGTTTAAGACATATCCATTCGGCTCAGCAGCACAGCACCAAATGGATATATTTCTCGAGGGAAAGTAGCATTAATCTTCCCCACATTACAAAACTCAGAACCAACAAGATGCATATACTTCACAATTTTCCAAAATCAAGTGAAAAATACAGAAGATTAAAAAATCACAACACAAAATCTCCTGAATATACTTTTGAATCTTCATTTGCTGTAAAATAATAAATACAAGCATCACAGCCACAATTACAGGAAAAAAAAATCTCAGCACCTTATTTGTATAAACCTACATTACAACACTCATATATGCAAAGACACTGCAAACATGATTGCTCATGTTTAAGAATGCCACAATATATTTTGTCTGGGCTTCCACTGAGATAAACCAAGATAAATGGATTATTAGGACATTACTTTATGTATACAAGATAATAATTATTCTTTATGTTTCAACTGTATGCCAGTGGAAATTACTTCCCCACACATGATTTAAAGAAATATTATAACCCTGCAGGTATGTAACCAAATGAATCGATGACAGGAAAAAAATAAGGAAGATGTATGTATGTATTCAGGGGAAAAAAGGTTTCTGGTACTGTTTAACCAAGATCTGGAGCTCAAAGCAATAGCAGCGAAGACACAGACCGTTCAGTTCTGCAAGGGCTTGAGCCCATTTGAGCTCACACTGCTGCTAAAGCTGCTGCCTGCCCACAAGTGCTGCACGCTTTGGTTGTGCAGCTGCTGATCCTGGCACAAGGCGAATCTTTGTCTGCAGGTAAGGAAAGGAATGGGGGCGTTTGGTTGACAGTGAGAGATGACACCCTGCCTGTAACCCTGCCACTTTATGCCAGTAAACTGCCCGTAAAAGCACATTTTTGCCCAACACTCATCTGTCCATCAGCTACACCAAGTCACAACAAGGGGTCCTCAGGAACATACAGCATCTCACTGCCAGTCCTCATCAGGCCAAACACATTCTAGACACCAGTGGGAAAGCAGTAAGACATTTACAAGACCTCGTAACAGACGGCTTGTAGAAATGGTCCCTACCCAAACTGGATGTCCCCAGTGACAGCCAGCTCAACGAAGTTAAGACACCACCAGCAAAGGGCAGAAAGAGTGGAGGTGGCAAAAAGAAAAAAAGACAGAACTCCTCAAAACCCCCCAAAATCTTCAATTCTTTGAATTATTCTAGAGACACCAAGCTCAAGACATGGAAAATAACCACAAGTAACTCTGCCTGTGGCTTATTTACTACAGCATCTACTCTGACACATCTTTCCCACATTTCAAGGACAGCATTCCACAGCCAGCAGGCCAAGGAGGTTTGGAAGCAGACCCAAGTGCGCAGGTCTGCTTTGATCTCCTATAAACTGAGGAGCAGGAGGACTGCTTCCAGAGGGCCTGAACTGCTACCTGAGAAAACAGGTGCATGAAGATGGCCATATAAGAGAACCACAGAGGTAACAGAAAAAAATAGAAAATAAGGTCTGAGAATTCAAATACAGGACAGGGGAAAGATGCCAGCCTGCCCAAGAATGGATATTATGAGCTCCAACAGTGCATGGTATCACACGTCTACAGCCATACAACATGAAGCAAGAAGAGGGAATTGGTGGGAAAAGTTGTTCCTTTATACAGTTATTTAATCCACTGCCTCCCTGTGTACCTGTAACTGCTGTCCCACTGATGCCTGCCCCCAAGTCACTGCACTTGGGTCACTGAGCTTCTCAGGCAGTATCAAAGAAATAAATTCCTCTTGCTAATTCTTGGTCACTTTCTAGCTTACACAGATTCCTAGAGACAAATGTGTAACTTTAGATTTAGAAACCTTTAGATAAAACTAAAACTAGGTTATATTTTATACTGTATTTATTTTCAGATAAGGAAAGCTTTGAATTTTGCTTTCATTCCTCTCTTGATAAAGCATACCTGCCTAATATGAATATCCAGCCCCAGAAATGCATCCTGGTGATGAAACACTGCTTGCATCTTTTTTACTTAAGGAGCACTCAGCCTTTGCTCTGTACTGGGCAAAAGTTACATTAGGACATGAAGTTTCTGGAATCCAGGGATCTTTGGCAAGTAGAAAAAAAATCCTTCCGTTTGCCACCCTGTACGCTACGTAAATGTCCATTAAAAAGATGAATTTGTCCCCTTCCCATTGTGAAGGTAAATTAGAATCAATGCTTATGAAACTCTCACATGCTGTAAAACTGATGAGGACATGCACAGATTAAATGGGAATGGACTTCAATAAATGTCAGCTTTCATTTATTTGTTGCCATTTTTGACTTCTGGTGACCTGTAAAGAGCTCTAAAAAACATCAGAGAAAAATCCACTGTGACTCAGATGTGACACCCTACAAACCCAGCAGGAGAAATGATAATTAGCCAGCTTTGTCCGTTGTTGCATGCAAGTTTTCACCCAGCCTGGTCAAAAGGATATTTTGTGAAACCATCCTACTGTTCTCCAGCCAGTGAATACTACAGAAAACAAGCTAGCACTATATGGACTGATCACTACTTTCAGCAAAACGTTTGAACATAATGTTTGGAACATGCTTGGTCATGCAATGAATTTTTACTGGCCCATGTTACAACCTCAGCATCCATTTAGGATTTTGTAAAAAACTGCTGAACTCAGACAAAATGTTTTAGTTAGAGCAACTGTAAAGTCACTCTGGATAAATACCAGCCAGAGAACTGAGCTGATTTAAACAAATGAGAGAACCTCTTTCAAAGTCTACAGACGTACAAAGAAACTGTGATAGAACACAATAACAAACCATTAGGTAGAGGGGCAGCATTCAGCAAAGTTGGTTAGGAATTCTATAGTTTGTTGCATTTTTCTTCCTGCTTTGGAACAGAAAATTTTAAATCCCCAACATCTCATCTTTTATTCCTTCGAAAGTTTTTCAGGTGACATCTTTACCATGTCACTCAGAGATGAAGAAAAGGAAGTCAATCCAAGGTGAGGACTTTGTAGTTTAATGTTCTCACAGCTAGAGAAACTCCTACTAAAAGTAGGCTATCTACACTATAGTGCACATATGAATATATTCATAGTTTATACTATTCCATAGTAGATGCCACAGCATTCAGAAGACAAGGCTCTTTACAGTTTATTAGAACCCATTTATTTGCCACTCATTTTGGTCTTTTGGCACATAATTTTAACTGAAGGTTAATAAAGGTCAAATTAAGGCATCCATGCTCAAAAAGAAAGATCCCTTCATAGTCTGTGTATACAGACAACTACAAAGGGTGCATTAAGCTGTTTTGTAGGAGGCCAGGTGGTTAAAACAGGAGGAAAGATGATGCCCTGGTTGTGCAGCTCCTGCAAAAATTGGTCATGCCAAAATGTCACTAAATAAATGCGTGGGAAGCTGGTCTGCATAGCACTGAGAGAAGAATTGGGAGAGAGGAATTCTCCACACATTATCCAACAGTCTGCTCAGTGGGTTTAGAGATAAAAGGAAAGGAGGTGAGGAAGTAGACAGAGAGATGAACGTGATAAATACGTCCCCTCCTTTTAGAAAGAGATAAGAGATACAAGAAGATGTCTGAATACAGACAGCCAGAGAAAACAGAAGGTTGAAGATGAGAATGAGGAAATGACAGGTGAAGGGATAGGATGAGATGTACTCAGTGAAGCAGACAGAAGGATTGGAATAAGGTAGCAGACACATTTCTAATTGTAATAGAAAATGAGATATTCAGATATGTACAAAGGGAAGGGGAAGTTTATTTATTTTTTATTTTTTATTTTTTATTTTTTTCCACCCTGAGGGAAAACTAGAAAGCTCAGTCACACACCCTTTACTCGCATGACCTAGCATTCAAAGTCACCTAGATCAAAACATCACAAGTAAACGTATCCTGAGAAACAGCAGGGAGGGACCTCAAGGGGCTATTTAGCCTGCTTCAAAGCAGGCTCTGCTATGCCTATGCCATCCTGACAGGTGATTGTCTAACTCAGTCCAACAGCCTCAAGCATTTGATTCTAGAGTTTAAACAACCCACACCACAGCAAGGTTTTCCTCATCTCAATTGCTTTTGATGCACTGGAAGTCTATTAATTTCTTTCTAAACCAATACAGCCACAGAGAACACACAGTTCTTCCTTTTACAGCAGTTGAAGCATTTAAAGCCTTCTATGCCCAATTCATCTGTTTTTCTTTAGCCTACACAACACCAATTATTACAGCCAAAACTAACTGAGAAGTGCAAGAAGAATTACAAGCAGTTGCAATCACAAAAAATGTCTTGTGGCTCTGAATTTAACACAGTTTGTACTTTTCCTTTGGTGCTACAAGAATTGGCTGTTTTTGGCCAAAGCTAGATTCAAAGGTAATTTAAAAGACAATGGAACAACTCTTAGCTGAAACAACATTATGAAATCCTTGATAATTAGGATTTTTAGCTCTTTTTATATAGTGATCGAACAAGAAATGTTATCACGTCCTCAATATAAATATTCTCTTTTCTCCTTCACATTAATCTATTTTCATATGTGCAAATGCAATATGACAGATTTGGAGACTTAGCTCAAAACTACAAGTGTAACAAACTTCTCTGTCCTTCCAGGGTTGAGAATCTTTCTCTGTGTTATTCAGTCCTTCCATTTAGGAGGGACCTTGCTCTCTGCATTAATTTAAACACTGATTCCTACAACTGTGATTATCAGCACAAAAAACAGCTGATGTCAATACCACATGAATTGTGTTACATCAAAACTCCTCATTAGAACAGCATTTTGACCGAGCAGTTGAACCAATAACACCATCCAAATTTTAAAGAATGTTAATTGTAATGGGATGGAAAAAATTACTTGGTCAAAAGCTAGTTGGTTCCTGAAATCAGAGCAAAACCAAAGTGATGGGTTACCTGTTCCATTTCCATCCAATCCCTGCAAGTAAGGGAAACTGTCCACTTCCCAGGGTGAACTGGCTGCGGTCAGATACGCTGTCAAATCACTATAGCTGGTGTTCTCTGGTAATTTCACCGATCTTCTCTGAAAGTGAACTTGTGGCTGAGTCCGTGCACCTAAAAAAAGTTGAAAATGACATTATATCCAAGGTAGGCAGAAAATTTAGGAGTACATATTTATGGAAGCACATTAAGAGGTTGTTTCTTTTAAAGTAGAAATTGCTTGCGAAAGACAGACATCTGAAAGCTATAGCGTACATGGAGGAAAACCAGTACTTTTGTGTTTATTTTGCAATTGCCACTGTTTTCCTAGAAGCATCTCTGAGTAAAACCGTTCAGGCAGATTTCCTCAGATCACCTCAAATTTCATGCTTCTTTTAATGAATGCCACTGAAACGAAAACAAAATTTGAGGCTCAGAGAAGTATCCAGTTCACCATTTTTGTTTACGTTTTGTCTCTTTTGAAGTAGCAAGATAAATTTACGCTCTTTGAAGTGAAGTTCTATGAAACGACAATTCTACTTGCAGTCCCAATTAACTTACATAACTTCTGCACTTTGGTTTTGCATAGCTTTGGCTCTGTACTAGATAACAGTCACTTTTTATTTAAGCCACTGGATAAAAACATTCTCTTGACAAAGCCTGGGTGAAAACAGTTTCCATACGTTCCCATGCAATGAACACATATAAACACAAAGAGATTACTTAGTATGCAATTCCTCATTTTTCCTTCTTCTGGTACAGTTTTAGCAGTTCTTCCAAGGTTGCTAGCTATTAACTGGGGGTCTTTACTGCAACAGAATTTAGGACTGTTTCGTGTACTAGTTCATTTTAAGTCTCATTTGAATCCTGGGTTACAAAGTCAATGGATTTTCCAATGGATGCTTACCATTAATACTGTTCAGCAACACACAGCAAGACTCCATCTGCAAATTTCTGTGTGCTTCATGCAAATTAGTTTTTAAATCAGAAGCTATTGTGTTCTCCAGAGCTCACTTTGAACACTCAAAGAACACTCCCTCAAAGCACAAAATCAAAAGGCTAACATGTTTTTCCCCCTCTCTTTGCATTTGACAATGTGGTTCAAATACGTCAACTCAAAACAGTTTTACTTCTTTTCTCCTATTAGTCTGAGATTGCAGCTTTGACCTTTGTATAACTTCACTGAGACAAAGATTAAAGAGTTTGACTCAACTCCTGAAATTTACAACTACCAATGTCATCATCCAAGTGACTGGCATCTTTTCTTGAACTGTTTTCCAGCAGGAGCTCAAGCTATAAGAAAGAGATCAAACTTTGCACCACCAACAAAAAAAAGTCTAGTTGGCAAGCAAGTATCTCAAACAGGTGATCATTATTTCTGCCATTTCTTTGGTAATTCTGAAAGAATAAGCTGTACAATATTTTTTAAAAAATCTGAAACTTGGGAGTATTTACAGAGGGATCTTAAGACTAGCAGTATTCTTAAACATTTAAGATAGTCATTGAAAAACACATCAGTGAAGTGGGAAGAAATCTCTCTTAGTCAATGTCTAGGTTTAAACGGCAAATGACAACACTCTAAATGAATTGACTAAAGTCAACTCAGGGAAGGCTCATCTCCCTCCTGCTTTATAATATCATAACAGTTTGCTGTACTAAGGGACATAATTGTTCAAACTCAAAGATCACTGACCACACTGCTGTGCAGGTTCATAAGCCCCATACTGATAAGCATCCATAGTAACAAAAGAGAAAAAAAAATACAACAAAGAAAAGAATATTATTGTTATCTGTTCCATGTAAAATTTTAGGATTTTCTGCTGTCTAAATATCTGATTAAGAAAAACTGAGTTGCCAAAAACTGGCATTGTATTTCTGAAGATACAAGTAATTAAGCATTAAAAAGAAAATAACCGTTGTTCAATCTATAAACGCAGTAATTAATGGGCAGGCTTTGGAGTTCTCTATTTAAAAACGATTATTTTGTAGCACTGGGACAGCAAAAAGCTCCCAGGGCGAAGCAAGCCTCTATTTCTTCAATTCTACAGACAATGCAAAATGTTCATGGCTAAGTCCCAAACCTGACAGGAAATTTGCACGACACTGAATTTGGATGTAAATTCTAAGGTGTAAGCTACTCAGAAATGGCTTCCTGTGTAGATAGTCTGTGCTTATAGATACAAAGAATTAGTGCAGAATAACTCCTTAATTCACATCCTAGATTAACAAGCTGTTTGATATTGAAATGCCCCAAGGAATCTGGTTCCCTTCTATGAGGCCAAGTCTGGGACGTCAGACAAGCTGCTCATCCTTTGCATCTTGCTCTTCCTTTCTCTAAAAATAGGAACAAAGATATTCACCTCTCAGTGCCTCCCAGATGGTTAATGCATTAGTAGGTGTTCACAGATCTAGGTACAACAGTGAAGACTACCCAAGCAGGGCTTTCTTTACCCCGGGAACACTGCTTTCCCATCCAGCATACTGCTGTGCCTCCAGCACACTGCCCCAGCCCCCCAGCTGGCATCTCTCTCTACACTGCTAGAAGACACACCAATGCACTCTTTAGCAGAGGTCATAGGGCACATTAGGGCTTATGACTGGGAATAGATTTGTTGAAGGAATTAGAAATGGTAAAACACATTTATGCTAACCAGATTCTTTAACAGTATTTTTCAGCAAGTCAGTGCGTACCATGGGGAACAGGTCAATATTACAGCTTTTATTATTAAAGATGTCTAGTTTTGACTTACAAAAACAAAATCACACGCAAATAGACTTCACTACAAAAATGCCATGTGAGATCCCTCCACTCAGTGAGTGCCATCAGAGATAGGACTCTGAGCACTGATCACATCTGCTTTAGACATCCACTTGCCAACACGTTAACCATGATTTTAAAGCTGTTATTTCCCATTTTCCAGTGCACATCTCAAGGAGCTCCTATAAGGCATCCCCTGCCATGCAGGATGTGTGACACGTGGCACACACTGGCAGCTGAGCTTCAGTCTATGTGAAATAATATCTGATATACAATCAATTAATGCCCTGATTGCTCATATGTCAGAGACAGATAGAGGGTAGCAATACAGTTCCCACACGCTGAATGCAGAAGTTCAGCTCTTCACTCTTCTGGTGTTAAATGACTTAAATGACCCAGGGCTGGCAAGCTCTATCTCCTGCAATTACAGACAGGATGCTGCAGAGAATTGTAAGGCCATCATGAAAATGAGGTTGGCTGCATCAACACAAGCTTCTCAATTGCATAATAAGTTGCTTACTTGATTAATTATTCAAAAACAACCAGTAACTTACTGTACTAGACATGCCTTTCTTTTCCTTTGATTGGTGCTTCAAACACCAGTGTTCCCACTCTGTTCCTAGTATAATAAGTTCTGCTTTGCTCTCTTTTCTGCACTAAGGTGACTCCTGATCAACTCTTTTGCAGCAGCTTGAAATAACTGGGAAATAAATTGGAGAAGTTACAGAGAAAAACTAGGTCACAAGGATTTTGGATCAAGATTAGAGAGGCTTCATTCAAACGCTGGTACAATGTCCAAGCTGCCTTTCATCTAGGTTTCATCATAAGACAATTCCCAAGAAAAGGAGCGTGGGTTGGTACCATGAAATAGTTTTTACTGTGTAAAAAGGGGAGTTCAAATTCCAATTCTTAGAATACTCTGGGTAATATTTTCTTTATTTTCTTTCCCTGTTACACCATCATAATCAGTTATATTATTCTTATTTAAATATGTCTTAAATCAACTCACGGAAGGAAGCAAGATTACAAGGAAAATATTTAAGAGCCTCACTTGGCTGGTAAATGTCCCTCTAGCCCTTACATGTCCCTGCTTGGTTTTTGTGCCTAACTTTTTGTTTCTTTTAAGAAAGGAGATTGTAAAAATGAATATTTTTCTTTTAAGTGTGCTGTGTAATATTAGCACATGTGCATGAGAATTGAGTATTTACTTAATCTTGTTAGAATACTGTTAGCAAACAACGTTTTATGGTTTGGCCAGTGGAATCCCTTATGATTTAACATGGCCCACTGTCCATCTAATTTGTTCCATTATTTAATGTCACCTCTCAAGCAACAGAATATATGCACCACAGCTGTATTTCTCTCTAGCCCTTCCTGAGCATTCCAACAGCTATGTAATTTGTTCGGTGCTTTTTCAACTTCAGTCATATTTAGTGCTCTCATTAATGAAAAGCCCAATGTATCTGGATGGGTTTTATCCTAAAAATAGATATTAGGAAGTCATAATTGTATTATACTGCCTTAGCTATAAAATAAGGTTATCTCTTAGTATTACTAAAGGTACTATTTCCCTGTTTATTAACTATCTGCTAGAGTTTAACATTATAGTACTCTTAATCCATGTGAATAAGACAGTTTATGCCCAATTAGGAGCGCTCACAGGAAGCATGTCCCTTTGTTTTGTCTCATTAAGGTATCTTTGAAAAGTTCTGTTCTTTTGTTAACTTAACTCAGAGTTAACTGAGTTAACTTTTTGAGACTTAACTCAGCATATCAGGTCAGTTGTGCTAAGGGAGGTGGATCCCTGATGGACTAGATGAACATGTTGGTGACTTACTGTGTAATTCAGAAGTTGCACTGTGCTCAACTGACTGATAGTACCTACAGTTTCTTCTGTGTTTGGCCTTATGGAAAGGGGATCCAGGTTTTATTCTACTAATACAGTGGTTTCACTGTAATATGTGGGGCTGCAGTCAGTCTGCTAAGGGATTCACAGGAAGTAATTAAGGAAAGCAAGCTTATATATTAGCAACACACATGTGAGGTATTTCCACCTTTTCTATGCCTCTAGCACTCACAGCAGGGGACAAGAAAAATTAAAATCAGAGAAAATTCTTAGGCAATAAGAACACAAGAAAATGTTTACTGCAAGGATGATTAGATGAAGTTAGATGATCTAACATCTACTAGATAACAAAAGAAATTTAATCTCTAGTTCTCAAATGGCACACTGAAGTTCAAGCCTGTTTATTACCAACTATCTTGAATTCCCTAGTCACAGCAATTAGGGATGACTTTTCCTATTAATCGATTCAGTAAAATCACCCCAGAGAGAAACACTCCTCAGGGAACTCATAACAATTCCACATAAAATACTAGTCTCACCCACACTATAGTTCTAAAAGTACCAGACTGGCATCTTTTTTGTTTGAAATATCATTTAAGTTTCAATTACATCTTCCAAAAATCAGCATACCTTGAAATCCTGAGACTATCTGGACTACATCATCATAGACCATTAGAGTAGCTGAGCGTTCAGGAAGAAGGCCAAGACTCAGTGAAGAGAAGACTGTGGAAGAGAAGTCGTTTAAGTGAGATATATCTCACAAACAAAACTTGAGAACAACAGAACGCACAATTTTATTTTGCAAAAACAGGCAACCAAAACTAAAATCACATTATATATATGAGAGAAACCATGTGCATTTACCAATCTAAATAAAGTCATGCATGGTCAGCACAAAGTACAGAAGGGTACAGTGGAAAGCATGGTTTCAGGTTATATTCCCAGCTCCACAAAAAGACTTGTCATTACATAAAGATGAGTGAAACACTGAGTCTGACTGAATTAATTTTTCTGTGAAATTGTATACGTCTTACATAAGAAAAAATTTTAATGAAACTTAACTTATAAATACTTTGAGACACTTACATAAAAAGTCATAAGGAAATGCAATGTATGGTGAGTAAGTCTGAATAACTGGCTCTAAAATACAGCATGTCCATATTGAGTCACTACCTACAGTATGGAACCTCTACATATAACAGAATCAGTGTCATTCCATCAGGTGGTATGAAAAGGGATAGTTAAATGGCATTTGCTGCAAGAAATCTGCATGCCATTGGATGCAGACATTCCTTAGAAGGAGGGTGGGTGGGTGCTGGTGCGTTGGGAGGGAATATATGCATACATGCCCAGAGAGTGAAAATTAACAAACAAATTAATTCCAAACTTTCCAAACCCAGCAGACCTTAATTATACACAGAATTGGCCACTGACAACGTCTGATTCCTGCACCCATAAAAACATGTAACTATGAATACAGTAAGAATTAGAGCTTACTGTGCTTCATGCTTGGCTTTCAAAGATAGAAAGACAGGAGGAAACGAATACAGACTAGTCATTTTTGATACCTGGGCACTATCCCATACTTGCATCCGGGAAGTGCTTGTTCCATGCTGAGGTGACCACAAGCTCATGAAAACATTTCCAGAACTGATGAACAGACGAACAGCACAAGTTCTTCAGACTGTCATGTGGTTTTAAAATTTCCCCTCAGTAAACATACCTGCCTTCATTCCAGAGACAATGCAGGCAATCACCAATGGCATGAAATTTAGCAAGGATAAATGCTAGGTGCTGTGCAGGATGGAGCAATGCTTGCCACAGGCACAGATAGATGCTGAGTGGCAGGAGAGCAGCTCAGCATGAGCCAGCAGTGTGTCCTGGCAGCCAAGGGGCAAATCACATCTTGGGTTACACTGAACACAGCACAGCCAGCTGGTCAAAAGAGGTGATCATCCTACTGCATTTAGCATTGGTGTGGCCTCATCTTGAATTCTGCGTGCAGTTCTAGGCTCCATAATATAATATAAAAAGGATGTTAAAGCCTTTACAAGTGTCCAGAGGAGGGCAACAAAGTGGGTAACAGGGCTGGAAGGCCTGGGCTGTGAGGAGGGGCTCTGGGCACTTGGGTTGACCAGGCTGGGATGATCTCATCGCTATGTGCAGCTCTGGCAGTAAGCCGTGCCACAGGAGGTTCAGACCGGACACCGGGAAAAATTTCTTCACGGTTCAGGTGCTCAAGCCCTGGAACAGGCTTCCTAGCATGGTAGCTGGTGCCCCATGCCTGTCAGTGCTCAAGAGGCATTCATGATGCCCTCATTAATACTTTCTGGTTAGCCCTCAAGTTACTAGGCAGATGGACTCTGGTATGAGTAGGGCCCTTCCACCTGAACTATTCTAGCATAGGTGTTAGAAACAAAAAAGAGAGGCCACACTGCTGTTGCAATTACAGCTGAGAATTTTCTTTCAAATGCTCTACATGTGAAACATCTATGCAACATAAGTAAGGATGCCTACTGTAAGTAGCACCATGGTCACAAGTACAAAATTTGTTTGTCTTTACTTCAGTAGCTTAATTCGCATGAAGAAAGCTAATAAAACTTAGACACCCTGGGGATACAATAAACCACACCAACCCCATTTTTTGTATGTATGTACCCCATTATAATGCACAGATAATTCCTAAACTTGCCATGGGTTCTTCTGCCCAATCTTTTTTCAGCATGACAAAGATAGGAAATCATTGTTTTTAAGGCCAGAAGGACCACTGTGATGATCCACTCTTCTATGTAATAACAGCCTTTCCTGTTAATTAATTCCTGAATTAATACTGCTTCAGATCTAATTGCTGCACTTAGCTTTTCTACAATATGTTTTTCAGTTTATCAGTCTTTTTCTAAAGTGTCCAGTGGCGAAAAATACACCACAGCACCAGCATTCTAGCACTAATTACAATGGCTGTTAAACTATGTGTCTTTTTACCTAATAAAATGTATTGAAATTCTTCTCAATCAAGTCCTGCAGGATGAAAGACTTTTCTTACACACCTCCTTTTCTCTGTGCAGGTGCTGATGGACTATGAAAAATCACCTCAGGACTTTTCCTATGCTGAACCAAATAAATCAAGCCTGTATAAGTCTTTCCCTGCATGCCATATTTTTCAATCCTAAATCATTCTTGATATACCTCTGCAATTTTAAACATCCCTCTTGAATAGTGGATCCAGAATTAGATGTGCATTTACCAGAGAGGCTCCACCAAGAGAAAATGCTGAAATAGTATGCTCCATCTTCCTAGTCTTTATTTTACTTTATTTTACAGATTACTCTCTCTTCTTGCAGTGCTATATCAGAAGCTTATTGTCAACCACGCATCTACTACATCTCTTACATATCTTCTGCACAGCTACCATTTCCCAGATGAGGTCTCCTCCCTCACAAGCATGGCAAGCATTCTCTGATCCTAGGACTAGTTTTTCCCATGGTATGTGTTGGGTGACACTACCACTAGTCTGAATTGGGATAGCTCAGTAATTTCCCCCAAAAATCTGCTTAAATATGGACTACTAGTTGCAATTTTATTTTCTTTCAAATTATTTATAAAGAAAAATCTATGTATAAGCAAGAAGAAATAGAGGAGCACATCTTCCATCATGAACACTTCAACAACTCAAGTGATGTTAAATTAATGAACTGTTAATAAGTGGAGTCATGGCTCTGCTGATAAATAGTTTAATGGAAAAAGAGATCTTAATCTTTTCTTTCTACCATTTATCATTACGTAAATAAATAATCCTCCTTCTTAAGTGGTAAAGAGCTAGTAATCATTTTGGTTAATATGAGAAAAGTTTATTCCTGCTGAACTAAGAGGACAATCCTTGACATTAGGTTCTTAAAATTACCATGAGATCAGTGGCTGCACAATCTTTCAGCATAAAATCATAATTAATGTATATTGCCTATGATGGAAGAATTGTGATCCCTCAAAAAAAGTCCTATTGCAGTGCTTTAAACATTATCACCCTGCAGCTTTCAAAGCTACTCCCGGCTTGTGGTTATCATTTCCACATTGAAGTGGTGCAAATAAATCCCTGTATATTTAATTCACCACCGCATACAGGATGGCACAGGAGCTTAAACCACTGGTGTGGGTGGAACGCTGCTCAGAATGGCATATCTGGTCTGTGGGACGATGACTACAAGTACTGTTTTTTTCAGGAAATGAAGACCCTGCTGTAAGTGTGTACCTAGGATGTACACTGCAGAATCAAGATTTAAATATGCTGACTGTCCCCCATCACTGAACCCAGATTAAAACCACTAAAAACAAAATTTTCCATTTTCAAAACTATGCTGTGCTACTTACAAGCATAATAGGAGAGCGTTTAAATATTAATAGTAAGTTTGTTAAACACCACAGACTTTGAAGCTTTACAGTATAAAAAATAATAGCCTAAGTACTTAGGGTTTTAACTTCTATGTCACATTTCCAAGAACAAACCCATTAAATCAACATGAGGGGTATCAAGTTGTAACTTGTTGTTTCTTTAATCAAAGGAAGGATTAAGTTTAGGGTACAGAAAGGATTCTACTCCCAATTAAATCAATGGCAAACGATCCGCCAATTTCAATGGGGGAAGATAAAGGTGAAAGGAATCTATTTTCTGAGTAAAGCTCAGATTTCAGCTGTAGAAATAAAGATTTTGTGGAAACTGTATATAACTACAGCTCTTTAATCTTCAATGACTTACCAAAACAATACCATGCTTGAATCCCTTCCCTCAAAATCAATATTTAAGAAAAAGCAACAAGCAAAAAAACCTAATCAACAAATTCCAGGCCCAGGAAGCATATGCTGTGTTTGAAAGATCTATGGTGTGAGTGGTAAAGATATGAGACGAGAGACAAGAAAAGGTTACAGCATGTTCTAGCCGTGTATGATTGTGTGTTAAGGAGTATGTTAAATACACCAGGAAGCTGCACTTCATCTTATTTAAACAGGAGAAAAAAAATAACATTAAGAAAGTTTCTAAATAGAATAAGGTTGGAATGGATCTCTGGAAGTCACCTGCTTTAACCATGCTTTGGGTTGTCCAGTTGAGTCCTGAATATCCTTAGAGATGGACAAAATTTTGAGCCATTTGGACAAGAAATATCATTTAAGTATTATTATTATTATTATATTTGTCTGCTGATGAAATTAATCATGTTAATTATGTTAGAAAGAATCTTTACATCTGGATAACATAACTGCAGATTTAAACTGTCCTATGGGACATGGCCAAGAGCTGAAAGTCCAGGGCTGTTTTGTAAACTACAGCCTGCAGCACAACAGTTGTTGCTACACCTTGGGAGATAAAAGAACTAGTACATCACAGCTGTTGAAACAGAGCACCAAAAAACAGAGTTCCTATAAGGAAAAAGATCTGGAGTAGATTCATATGCTCTGTGGAGCTGTAAGAGCATCAACAGTTGTTTGAAAACTGACATATCAAGGAAAGGTAGGAGGAGTGTGGATCTCTGCACAGTCCTGATGCCACAGCTTAGCTGAGCAAAGAACCTCCCATTTCTGTGACTCACAGATAATATTCCTACCACCCAGGACTGCAAGCATTAAAATACATCATACAAAATTATAACTTCCTTTAGATGCAAAATCTTACCTCAGAACAAAAATAAAGATCTCTTACCAGGCAATCTTACAGGTTTCCATGGTGCAGAATTTGGCACATAGGCATGTTTACTAGCAGTCACTATCAGCTGATTGCCCAATTTATACTGAAACTTGAGGAAGGCAGTGCCATCTGCTCCTGAGGTTCCAGATGCAATGGAGATCTGGTTGGTAAAAATCTCAATGAAGGCTTCCGTTACTGGCTGATGTGTGCTGGCATCGCTCACTTGGACTTTCAGCGTTACTTCTGTAATGACAAACAATCATAGTGATCATAATCAGAGCAGCTTCTGCAGGAAGCAAAACTTAGAACGTGCTATCACAGCAACAGCCACCAAGACATGAAGTTAACTGCTAACCTCTAAAACTTTGGTGACAGTATGGCCTCTCTTCCTGGCCTGCAACTCTCCAATTCAGGCAGCTGCTCTTCAGAGGTTCTGCAGTCCTGAGGCTGACCATGTGCTGTGGCCCTAAATTACTGCCCTACTGCTAATCCTACCTTTTAAGACATGTATGTTGAACCTATTACACATACTCAGTTGGCAGCATATCCCCTGTAGCTGGCAATACTCAGCTGATGAATCACATGTCAGCCTCATGGTAGCATCCTAACTAAACACACATGCTGCCTAACATCATACTGAGCACAGGACCTTGCCCTGCTGTGCCTCTGCTCCAGCCTGCCCACCCCCCAGAGATGAGCAGCCCACCTGGGATGGGGAGAGGACACAGCTGGGAAGTGAGCTGTACTCTTACACTGCTCCCTAGAGACAAATCTCTCTGGCCAGCAAAAGAACACACAGAGGGTGGTGAAGTACTGGAACAGGTTGCCCAAGGAGGTTGTGGATGCCCCATCCCTGGAGGCATTCAAGGCCAGGCTGGATGTGGCTCTGGGCAGCCTGGTCTGGTGTTTGGTGACCCTGCAAATAGCAGGGGATTGAACTGGATGATCACTGTGGTCCTTTCCAACCAAGGCCATTCTAAGATTCTATAATCAGGCAGTCATGAGGAGTGAGAAGGGCTCAGGGGAATGCAAGCTGTGATACAGTCAGAGATTTTGAACCTTCCAGCTGGTACTGTGCTTCTCTGCTGAAGGCAAGGCAGTGAAACCCCAAAGGATCAGGTCCTTATCCTCAAAACAGGGCACAAACAGGTTGGATGTAGAGTGCTAGCAATGGGCAAGAGAGAAACACCTTGCCTGCCTCTGTTCACTTGCCTTGCTTCCAAAGGAGTAAATACATCGCAGCACCTAGTGTTAGAAGTGGCAAGCAAATATCACATGTGAATTAGCCATCCCCATGCACGACTGGAGAGTGTAAGTGGTGGAAAAGTGACTGTTAAGCCAGTCAGGAGTATCATACATATTGCAGACATACAGTCAGAAGCCAACACAATGAACTACATTTTACTTGAGTAATGCACCCTCTTCCCAGAAACAAACTGCTTGTTTAAATGTTTCCAGATGCACAGTATTTGTCCACTTTAAGACACTCCTGTGATTAAACCACACGTTGTGTCACAAAGCTTCTGCTGCACAAAGCAAAGCTAGTGCAAGATGGTCCCTCAGAAAGGGACCCTCCATATTGATACTTTTCCCTGCCTTCAATAGTTCCTCTGTCTTATGCTGTAAAGTAGCAGCTATTGCCTCTCCAATAGCTATGACTTAAATGCAATGCTGCACTGAAAAGACCCAGCAGTGCTCTAACGGCCTCAACCAGACCAGTCCTTGGATTGTTTCCTTTATGGTTGCCCCATTCTCCTAAATGAGTACCTATCTCTTTTCTCTTCTCTCCCTTTCTCCCTACACTCTTGACCTTGCATTCACCTTTGGAAATTATCTTCTTGCATGAACTTTCCTCCCTCAGCTTACTTCATCTCACAAGGTTGTGCTGCACAGTATTTTGTGAAATCCCTCTTTTTGGTGTCATGGAAATGCAGCCACTAACAAGCAAGATGTTCACACTCCATGCACAACTCATTTCTTCATGTTCTGCCCAGAAATGAGAACAGGACTTCATTTTCATACGTATTCAGAAACACATTAATTTCTATGGAACAGTATTGGGGATAAAGTTCTGTTATATTAATACTGCATATTAGGGTATTAAGAAATTATTTTCATATAAAACAGCAAGACATCACATCAAGAAGAACAATGGAGAGTTCAACAAAAGCTAGGTTGTGAATTTCTGTAGTGACATGACACAGCTGAGTAAGCTGAGAAACATAACACAGCACTATAAAATTTAAAAAAGGACATCATGATCTAATACAACCCTTCAAAACATCAGTACGTCTATCCTAAGGGCATTTTAGCTATAAAGATATTGGGTCCTTTAATAAGCAGAGACCTTCTGTCTAAATCCTAGAATACAAAAGTATTAATATCAGGCAGCCCAGAACAAAAACCCCATTAGAGAAATTCATCATCATCACAGCCCTTGCCTTAGAACTTGGCAGTGGATGATGCCAATTTGGTGGGGATCAGCATGAAATACATTTTAGCTATTAAAGACTCTGGACTTGTTCCCAGTTTCGCATTTAATAGTCAAAGAAAACAACCTGTATTGAAAAAACAGTGTACATACACTGAATATATACAGAATGCCCCCTTAGAAAACTTGCTTGATGACCAAAAAACTTGTGGGATTTCATGCATATGAAAGCCACAATACTAAAAGGAGGCATTCATGTGTATCTATGTATTGATGAATTCTATATGTATTTACAAACATGAAGACAAAAAGCAATACAAGTTTTTATTTTCATAACCCATAGGAACACTTAGATCTAAAGTCAGATAGCTACTGTGATAATATTCCCCAGAACAGATGTCGCTAAGAATAATGGATCATGTATTAAAAGAAAAGCAAGAGAGTAAGACGAGCTGAACATCATACATAACCAGTCTCAGTAACCTGTAAGTAAGCCTTTCCTAAAACAACCATACATAAGGAACCATGAAGCAACACTGCTCTCTCTGTTAAATAGTAATCAAGGAAAAAAATTAGAAATAACTCAAGTTTCAAACCTATTTGATTCCCTGTAGACAACATTTTAGAATAGGAACTATGACTAAAATTGATTAAGTGATGAAGAGCGGTAGCCAGCCATGAGTATCTCCAGAAGGAAATTCATTTCTCTTTCGTGCTCTAGTTCCCTATTACAAGCTTCAGCCTGCAACCATCTCTTTCTGATAAGGAAAGGCAGGAGTTTCCAAAATGCTGTTTCCAAATGACAGTGATGAAGGCCTGAAGAAGTCCTGATGTCCTGCTACTAAATCACTGGGGCTACTTCTCCTCTATTATTTAGATTTTTTTTTCCTTGAGAGAAAATCCTAGCAGCTTGAACAGCCTGCTTTCTTTTCATGCATTATCTTCACTGACATACACACAAAATGCACATCATTTGCTTAAATTAAGGTTTTTTTTTAAATATCATACAGCAGCTTCTTTTCCTTATCTAATGCAGCAGTGAAGTCATGAACACTGAACCCGCGTTACCACTTTGATTCCCACAGCAATACAATGACCACAAGCTTTAAACTGAAACTGTTGAAGAAAACTCTCTCTAAAACATTGACAGAGGTAAGAACTATCTATAAAGAAAGATTACCACGAAAACAAACCTCTGCAGTACATTTCAGAAGCGTGATGAGGAAGGTCCTGGAAGTTGGAGGCATATGGCCAGTGCTGGTGCTTCTTTGGTACGCTGCCAAGCAGAGATGGCTGAGGTAACAGATTCCAGGCTGGTGAATTCACAACTCTGACCACTCCCATGCCCCAGACAGGCCAGCTACATTCACAACAGGCTATGCCTATAGCTCTAACACACCTGGCTCCTGACCACTATGGTGTGAATGGGACTCTTTTGGACCTGAGCTGTCATGCCTGTGGTGTCCTATTGGCTCCCAGTACCACTTGGGCATGCACAGGTAGAGCCAGCAATCATCTGCCACCACCAGCACACACGTGTGCTGCCACTGTATTCTTACAGCAGTCTTTCATGTCCAGCGCACGAGCTGGTTGTTACCACTGCTCATTTCCACTAGTGAACATACCTTGCCTGAATGGGCAAAAAGAACGTGTGTCCCTGCCTAGCACTGCAGGCAGAAATGGGCCACCATTAAACAAATGGAGCTATTAAATAAATCAAGCAGCCTGGAAAACCATGCAACCCTATTTTTGGGAATTTCTAAACAAAGTGGGAAAAGTGGGTAAGTGGGAATGCAGCAAATACAGGGTTAAATCCCATGAAGATCAAGGCTGCTGTTTGTACATGGACAGGCAAGTAACTCTAGCCTGAACTCCTTGTATTTCTGTCTTCCCTCAGCAATCACTGAAAAAACTGAAAACAGTCACAGCTTGTTTTTCAAATGAGAGCAAACCAAAACTACCAGTTACAGTAAAAACAGCTGCTTAAGTGCAACTCCGTTTTCCTAGTACTAAATTTATTGTCATCTATATAAAGAAAAAAACAGCATCTCCAAGGTTATAATTTGGGAAAGTGAAATAGTGAAATAAAAGACAAAAAAAAAAAACCACCCCTTCCATGTTAGCATATTAATGCAGAATTCCATCTGTCCACTTAATCTGATTTCTGAGATTTTACTAAGTCTAAACTTTCCCTGAGCAATCCCCCTGTGCCATCTGCTTTATGAACCGTGCTGCCTCCCCTGAAACACAAGTAACCTTAAGACAACTACTTCCATAGTCAAAACCCCACTTCTTGGATTCCCAACCCTCTTTGTACTGCTGTGAACACAGTTTGGGGATGACTTAAGAACTGATATCAAAACTCCTAAGAAGTGAAAAAAAAACCCACACTGCATTTTCTTGCTGTTTTTCAAATAAGCCAGTAACATCATACAGAAAGAAAAACTCCCAGTGATGGCACACCGTCAAATCTCAAACACTGAAATAAACAGAATAAATGATGACAATGACTGAGAATCAAAGATTACCATCTTACTTAAGTCCCAATCTTACAACCTGGTTTCCGTGCACACGCTCCTCTGTCAGGCAGACTCCCTCTGATGTCTGCTGGACAGATGATCTCTCTTTTGGGAACAGGCTGACATAAGCAGCCGTTAGCACTTATCTTTTCCTCTGGAGGTCCCTATCCATGGACAATGTCAGGATATTACCAAAGAAAAATATTTAAGTTATCTAGTTTTGATTAGAGAAAGAAAACTTCCTGCCCATTAAAAACAAAACAAAACAAAACAAAGAAAAAAAACCAAACACA